AGCCACCCAGGCGCCCCAAGGAAAGGTGCATTTCTAATGCACGTCACAGTCTGGAGTGGGAGCTGTGGTCTAGGACCCCCATGTTAGCCCGGCCTTGGCCTGAGTGTCTCCCTCTAACTGCAATGCCCAGGACTCCTCATGGGCACCTCGGGGTGCCTGCCCGGCCCTCACTCCCTTCTGTAGACGCGCTGGGACAGCCCCGGGGGTATCCGTGGACGCTGCCTTCCCTTGGTTGGATACTTGGCCCAAGTATGGCCAACAGCCTTTGTTCTGGAAGTGCAGGCTCGGGGCAGAGAAAGTGGGGTGGTGACTGAAGAGAGCCAGGCAGACTTAGAGGACCACGGGGCTCCTTAGGGGGGACCGTGAGGCGGGCTCCAGAGAAGCAGATGTGGAGGCAGGGATGCCGGTCTGTAGAAAGAAGAGCCTGAACCAAACAAGTGGCTACGAGACCAAAAACACACAGAAACACTCCCGCACACGTGTGTGCGTGGGAGCCGAGATGTACCCGGTGCCCATGTGTGTTCATGTCCCTGCTCCGGGTTCACTGCAGCTAGAACCTGAGTAAGCACTGGCAGAGCGGAGCCAGCCCACGTGCTGTGGGACATATCCTGTCCACGGGTGTCCCCAAAGCAACCTCCGAGGCAGGGCTTGGGAGCAAGCAGCTGCTTGCCAGCTTGGATGGGCCAAGGGGGCCGGCTTCCAGAGCAGCTGCTCCAGGGCCCCCAGGGATTCTAAGTAATGGTGAGTGCTGTCATCAGAGCGGAGGGGTGATGGGGGGGATGACATGGGGGCGAAGAAGATTCTGGAACAACCCACAAGATATTGTAGGCCCAGCCCAGGAATGGAGTAGACAGCGTCCCACGGTGAGGAGGCAGCGGGGTCCACACCAGACGCCCCGGCTGATCAGAGCTGTGTCTCCACTGTAGACGGTGCTGGTGACTGACACTTACCTGCAGGTTAAGCGCGATGCTGACCACAAGGTGCCCGAAAATTGCCAAAAGGGCGCCGATCAGGTTTTCCTGTAAGGAAAATTCACAGGAGCAGATGTGAGCTGGGTCGAAGCTAAAGGGCCCCAGGGCACATCTGAGGTCCCACTGTTTGCTGTCCCCAAACCAAACCAGGAAAACATCTGCCACAAAGCCACACCCCTGACCTTCTATTGGAGTTTTACTACTCATGGTCAACGCGGCTGCTTTGCTGGTTTACAAAACATTGCCCTGAGCCGGATACTTCCAGAAAGCAACGTCCTTTGTCCACCGGTCATAAAGACCTGGTAAGGCCTGAATCTGCTCTGCTATTCCCTTAATGGGTCGACTCCCCGCAGTCTTGTGCAGGAAAGCAACATCAGAAATCAGAATTTACAAGCGAAACAAAGGCAGGAATACAATTTGCCATTTTATCAGTGGATTTGTCATGTTGCCAGAGGGGTCTCAATGAGACTGTTTTTTTTTAAGTTTTTAATATTTATTTTTGACAGAGAGACACACAAAGAGTGTGAGTGGGGGAGGTTCAGAGAGAGAGGGAGACACAGAATCTGAGGTGGGGTCCAGGCTCTGAGCTGTCAGCACAGAGCCCGACGCGGGGCTCGAACCCACGAACCATGAGATCAGGCCTGAGCCGAAGTCGAAGTCGAACACTTAACCGACTGAGCCACCCAGGCGCCCCTCAGTGAGACTCTTTAAACTGGCTAATGTGCTTAATTTTTAATCATTTCATTTATAAACATTTAATTTCTATCACCTTAAGAATAAGGTTCAGATTTCTTGGCATGGCATTTTCTTTTAACCTTAAAAGATAACTACCAAATATATATTCATTGTAGAACAGTTAGGAAATACAAATAAATGACAGGAACAGTAACAATTACGACATAATAGAAAAGCCACCTGTAATTCTAAAACCCAGAGACAACTCCTGCAAACATTTTGTTCTTGTAAACTTTTTTCCGTCCATAATTCAGATATGAATGACAATGTTAGTTCATTTGATAAAAATAAGACTATAATCCTTTTATAACCCATTTTTACTTAAGATATTACAAACACATTCCCCTGTCAAGCATATTTAATTCATCATTTTTAATAAATACCAAATAACTCGTCTTTTCGATGTACCGTATTTTTTATCATTGCTTCTCCATTATTGGGTATTGAGGCTGTTTCCTTTTTTGAAAACACTGCTCTAACTGAATATCCTAGTACATGCATTTTTGTGCATTTATGAGGATTACCTCCTTGGAATAAATTCTTAGAAGGGGGACTGCTGGGTCAAAGGGTACTTGCCTCAGCATTTAAACCACACTATACTATGTTGCCAACACACCCTCCGGGGTTATTTCACCACTAAACACCAAGAAATGTTCTATCTTAGCCAAATATGCATCCTCCCTCCCCAGGATGGGCCTTTCCCAACTCCCGCTAAGCTCAAGAGGTTCCTCCCACCAAGCCCACCTCCCTGTGAAATATGCCGGGTCCTTAAGGCTTGGGTGGGCCCTAGGAAATCAGTGGTGAACGAGACAAACACGGTCTTGCAATTCACCTGGAAGATCTAATTAGCAAGTTTTCGTAAGGCAGGAAGTCAAGCCTCTGTCCCTCTCTCCTCCCCTCTTTCCTGGAATGCTGAGGGCCTAGAGAGCTAAGAAGGTGGTTGTGGAAGAGGATGGGAGGAGGGAGGGGGTGTTTTCACTGACAGAAACCACCATGGCCTGTCCTTGACTTTGTCCCCAGCAAGGTGCAGCATTGCAAAATAAAGGCAAGATGCTGAGCTGGGAGCCAGGAGACCTGGGTTCTGGTTATAGCTCTGCTGCCTCGTCACTGCATGGCCTTGGGGGAGTCCCTTCCCCTCATCAGGCTTGTGTGTCCCCGTCTGGAAAATGTAAACGCCAGCCCAGATAACCTCTAAGGATCCTTCCAGCCCCCACCTAAGCCTCTGGTCACCTAAGCCAGACTGCCAACAGAAACCAAGTGAATGAGCAGGCCAGACAGGAACCTGACTTTCGTCCATTTCACTTTAGAAAACAACTCCTTAATAGAAGGTCATTGAGGGCATCTCATGGACCCAAGGGAGCTGGCTTCCACTTCTTCCCCAGAAGGCTCTCACTGCTTGAGCTGCACTTCCTTGGTCCTTCTCCATCTCTATTGATGTGTTTTTGCTGTCTCTCTCTCTCTTTTTTTTCAAATGTTTATTTATTTTTGACAGAGAGAGAGAGAGAGAGACAGAGCATGAGCGGGGGAAGGGCAGAGAGAGAGGAGACAGAATCCGAAGCAGGCTCCAGGCTCCGAGCTGTCAGCACAGAGCCCGACGTGGGGCTAGAACTCATGGACTGCAAGATCATGACCTGAGCCAAAGTCGGACGCTCAGCAGACTGAGCCACCCATGTGCCCCTGCTGTCTGTCTCTTCTTAAACAGACTTAAGCAGAAACCATGTCCTTCCTGTGGGATCACAAGATCTCAGAGCTAAAAAGGTCACTGGAGATCAACCAGGCCAGGGTTTCCCTAACTGAGTTCCTAGAGACGTCAATGGGATTCTGAGGCAAAAAGCACCACATAGTTAAGTAAGTTTGGGAAACACTGGATCCTGGGTGCACTGCTTGGAGGCCACAGTGCACTGGCAGGTCGGAGGGCCTCACGGGCAGTTCCTCCTCGGCCATCCCAGGTGTCCCAAACCTACTTGGCTCTAGAACTCGTAGTCTGCAGACATCTGTGATGCTCACCCACCTGCCATTTTAATCCCGTTCCTTTTGGTCTGGTAACAGCACCCTGATTTTGCTGTGGAAGGCTCCCTCTTGCCCCCTCTCCCCCTTGCAAAGTCTCATTGGGACTGTTATTCCAAGTGCTCTGTCCTCCCTGGACAAAGATGGGCCTAGACTCAAGCTTGAGCCAACCAGGCAGGTCAGAACCTCTCTCTGGGGTATAAATCTTGAACAGAGAAGCATGGAGGCCTGAAAGAAGGCTGGGCTCACTGCTGCCCAAGGCCAGGCCTGGGCAAATCAGGCCCCAGGGGCCATCATGGTGCCTGGGACTTCCCCAGACCTCCTTCTCTAGCCCTTCCTTCCATTCTGGGAGCAGCCCCACAGTCTTTTTTGCTGGAGTTGGTTTCTATTGTTTGCCCCACAGAGCCTGAGTCCATGCTTTATGGGATGCAGTTCGGGTACGTGTTTATAATGAGTCCAACGCCTAGTAAACCTGAGTGTTCATTTCTTCGAAGGATGGCTTTTGCAGACAAAAAAAAAAAAAAAAAGCGCCTATCTGTATTACATTGATTTTTTTTTTTTAAATTATATTTGCTAGGGACGCCTGGGTGGCTCAGTTGGTTAAATATCCGACTTTGGCTTGAGTCATGATCTCCTGGTTCATGAGTCTGAGCCCCGTGTTGGGCTCTCTGCTGTCGGCACAGAGCCTGCTTCAGATCCTCTGTCCTCTTCTCTTTCTGCCCCTGCTGTGCTCATTCTCTCTCTCTCTCTCTCAAAATAAATAAACTTAAAAAAATTATATTTGCTATAAAAAAACAGATTCACAAATTTAGTTTCTTTTACATAAAATCTTACGAAGGAACTAAGAAATGCTTGTAAGTCTAATAAACTGCACTTAAGAATATAACAAACATATGTCTTAAATATTCCAATGCCATTTACATACAATAAATTCTGTTATTCCTTCCAGTTTAAAAACCAAATGACAGAACTTCTGCTTCCAGCAAGATGGAGTGGACTCACTTTTTCCCATGCTTCCTGCTGTGTACAACAGGAAACCCTGGATGTTGTATACAAAGCAAACATGAGACAACTCTGAAAGGTGGAGAGGAGAAGACAGACAGGCTGGGGAGCTGAGGGCACAAGGAACGACACGGCAGTGGGTTCCCTGGGTTTTCTCCTCACCTCACGTCGCTCAGACTCGAAGCTGAAGAAACGGGCAACCTGGGAATAATAATGGGTATAGACAAAAAAGCTCTAAGAAAAGCCCGTGCTCTCTAGCCGAAAGACCAGAAGATGAGCAGTCAAGCAAGACAGAAATCTTTTATTGTTTTTATTAAAAAAAATTTTTTTTAATGTTTATCTATTTTTGAGAGAGAGAGGCAGAGTGCGAGTGGGGGAAGGGCAGAGAGAGAGAGAGGGAGACACAGAATCCAAACAGGCTCCGGGCTCTGAGCTGTCAACACAGAGCCTGATGTGGGGCTTGAACCCATGAACTGTGAGATCATGACCCAAGCTGAAGTCGGATGCCTAACCAACTGAGCCACCCAGGCGCCCCAAGACAGAAAACTTTTAGACAACTGCTGTGTTCCAAATGTCACAGGAAAAAAAAAAAAAAAATAGCTCCCCCGGACCCAATCCCCAACACCAGCATAGGCCAAGGAGGGAGCCTAGATTTCCAACCTTTCACAGTTATAACAAGGCACCTTAACCCACGTGCTGGGATTATCAGAGAAGGCCCAGGAGGGATCTGGGATCCGGTGAGGAGGCACCTCCCCACCCCACAGAGTGAGAAGAGCCCACACGGGGAGCGTGGACTTCTAACCCCAGCTGGCAGCAGTGAAGTCCCCTTCTCCTACTGGGTGGTGTCAGTGGAGGCCTAGTGGAGAGGCAGGACTTTTACCATGACACTCTCACAATTACACTGTCCGAGTTGGGGTTACCATTTCTGGTAAATAAAAGAGAATGATGCCTGCCAAACATCTCTCTCATCTCTGTATGCCCTCAAGAGGTGGGAATTGTTCTCCCCACCACTCGAATCTGGGTAGGCCTTGTGAATGAGGTGGAAATGAGGCTCTGGGACTTCTGGGCTCAGGCCTTATACCTTCTACTTTTGTACGGAGGGAATTCAACCACCTATAAAGAAGCCCAGCCTATCCATAAGGAGAGACAGGGGTCATGTGGAAGACCAAATAGATACATGAGTGGGCCCAGTCAACAGCAAGAGAAGAGAAAGGCCCAGCCATCTCGGCCAACTGCCAGCCGAGGCTCCAGACACGAGTGATGCCATTTTGGATTCTCCAGCCCCGGTCCAGCACTCCAGATGA